AGGAGTGGACAGGGCCATGGAGAAAATCCAAAAAGGGGAATGCTGTTTATTATACCTAAAGCCCAAGTAAGATTAGCTTTTTATAGCTATTGTATTTAGTGTATGTTTGGTAAGGAAAATATAATATAATATAATATAATATTGCTGACAACCCAGATTCAGCCTTATGTAAACTAATATAAAATATTTCCATGCCTAGTATCTGCATATAATAAAGTCATCAACCAACCATAATGCTGATAATCTGACATACTCTTTCCTTTTTTATATAACTATCCCCATCTTACTCAGTCTATGTTATGCTTTCAGATACGGTTATGGCAAAGAGGGTAAAAAAGAATATGACATTGGATCAAATGCAGAACTACTATATGAAGTAACACTGAAAGACTTTGAAAAGGTGAGATATTTCATTTTTCGACCCAAAATGTTCATTCCAAAAGCTTTTTGTTGTTCAGAATACAGCGGGGTCCAGAAATCAAAGTCCACTAATATTACTTGATACAATCCATTACCATTATATATAGCATCCATTATTTTTCCATTACAAGTTTTTTATATTGCATTACAAGTATATTGAACATCTGACTTTTTGTACAAAGGAGCTCACATAGTCCATGTCAAATTAGCTTATTTTATTAGCAACTGACAAATTGCTTATTTTTAAATCCTGTTTTCAGGGTTTCAATGTGATCTTAGAACTTTGGAACCCACTGTGTGTGTGTGTGTGTGTGCATTTATCTCTTTTAAAGTATTTAATTATTGTTTTATTTCATTAATATGGAATAAAAAAAAAAACAGGGTTAAAATAGCCAGGTCAAATATTATGTTTTCAAACAAATATGACTTTGATAAGGGAGTTCTGGGCATCCTAGAATACTGTTAAAGTGCTCATTTTTAAATTATATTTTCAGGGTTTCAGTGTGACCTTAGAACTGTGGAACCCACTGTATCTCTGTGTGTGTGTGTGTGTGTGTGTGTGTATATATATATATATACACACACACACACAGTTTTATTACATTAATATGGAATTTAGAAAATATGGGTAAAATATGTTTTCAAACTCGTGTCTTTGAAAAGGGAGTTGAAAATCCCAGAATACAGTTAAAGTGCGCCCTCTAATGGTCATAGAGAGAATCAGCAGAAAATCGAGAAAGTCTAAAAATTCCTCTCATTGTTTCCCCAGGCCAAAGAATCCTGGGAAATGGACCTTAAAGAGAAACTGGAACATGCTGTTTTAGTCAAACAAAAAGGGACGCAGTATTTCAAGGTTCGCCTCCATTTTTGTCTTTGGTGTAGAGTCGCTTGCCTACTGAGTTGCTTTTCATTTTATTGTAGGCAAGCATCCTGCATTTTGTTTTTACTTGTGTAATAGTGAATATATAAAACTAATTACTAGTTATTAGTAATATAATAATAACGTATATGCAAAATGATTGACTTAATTTTACTACAAATAAACACTCTTTCTAAAAATGTTACTAATTTTTTTCAGTCTTCTTTATACTGTGCATTCAGGCTGGATGGTATAACTATGCTGTAATTCAGTATCAGCGGATTGTAAACTGGTTAGAGATGGAGTGTGGTGCAGGAAAAGAGCAGCAACAAGCCATCCAGGACCTCCTATTAGTGGCCCATCTGAATCTTGCCCTGTGCTTTCTGCGATTGCGCGAGTACTCTCAAACAGTGGAGAACTGCAACAAGGTACACTCAAATAGCAGTGAACAAAATATCATCCATGTGTTTCAAAACATTTGTTTCTTACTGTGTCTTACTGGTTGTCATTACTAGGTTATGGAGCTGGACCCAGAAAATGAGAAAGCTCTATATCGGCGAGGTGAAGCACGTCTGTTGCGCAACGAGTTCAGCATGGCTCTAATGGACTTCAAGCAAGTTTTGCAAGTTAACTCCTTTAACCGTGCTGCCCGCAGCCAGATTGCCGTCTGTCAGCGCAAGATTCGTGAGCACCATGAGCGGGACAAGAAGATCTATGCAAACATGTTCCAGAGGTTTGCTGAACACGATGCTAAGGTATGCCAACTATCACACTGGCCAGATGGAAAAGTTTATTCTTGACAAATTCACTCGTTGCAGTTTCAGGAATGCAGCATTAGGAAGTGCTTAATTCCTCACTTGAATGAACAATGCCCTTGGTTGTACTCAACAAATGTAACCACATTCAAAAACACTAATACAGCTGAGGCTCAGACATAATCTAAAGCTTATTGACATTTTGACATGCAGTGCTAGTCAGGTTAACAAATAAAATCAAATGCAGTGTTTTTTGTTTAATTGAAGTAATATGACATTTTTCAAAAATGCAAATTAAGCCTCATGTTATGGCAATGCTCTTTTGCATATAATGAAAGTAATTGTGACCATTTTGTCCAAAAATTACAAAAAACATAATTAAAGCAAATTAAATTAAGTCAGTATGACTTTTTTTTTTTGCTATATTCAAAGTCTTCTGAAGCTGATGTTTACGCAAGGAACAAACTGAAATTTAAGTTGTTACTAAGAATCTTCCTTTTTTGCTGTAGCTCTTCCTATATGAAAATGTAATATGTTACATATAAGGTGATATATAATTATGTGTAAGTTTATAACAAAATCCCCATAGTAAAATTTGTGTACATAATTAAGTTAATAAAATGGATATGATGCGTTTTTATATGGTACTATATGTAGCAGCTATATATTTAGTATTTAACAATATATTAGTCAACAATATGTATTTTATTTATATATGGAATTTTATTAAAACACACACACACACGTATATGAATTTTTTCAATTTCTAATAGATTTCATATATGTTTTTACTTCATATGACACTGTTTCATATATGGAAATTACATTTACGCATGGGTTTAAATCAGTGGTTCTCAAGCCAATATATACTAAGAAGAATGCTGAATATTTTAAATGAGCTACAATTTTTTATTTTATTTCAGCAATTATGTTCTGTATTCCAGAACTATAGTATGTGTTCTTCAATTTAAAAAAATTATTGAGGAAAAATTAAAAGTAAGCATTTTATTTTAGAGGTTAAATCTAGGTTTGATTATTTGAATATTTTCATTTGTGGGCAAACTACAATTCCTTTTTTAACCTCTCTGAAAACACTATTAGTTTCAGCATTTAAAAATGTTGTTTCTGTTTTTAGGTGGGCCGATTAAAAAGGAAAAAAGAAGAGAGTGGAATTTCAGATCAGAATATGCAGGGACTAAAGAGACCTTGTCTCAGTCAGGACGGCTCCTAAAACTCCAGACGCTATTCAGGAGGCCCAAGCAAGGAGGTCAGGCTCTGGGGATGGCTGGTCCATCTTCGATTGCGTCATGAAAGAGGCAATGGGTAGAGGTGTGGATGAGCCCTCTATACACCTTGACCTCAGACCTCATTATCGCTCAGACTGAAAGCAAATGCTGGGAAAGTTTCGCATAATGGTTTATAGACGTTGAGGAGCTGCAGACCTTAATGACATTCCTACAACTACAAAGACAAACAACAACAACAAAAACCAAAGCGCACAATTCTATGACCACCTGTAAACCTGTACGGTGCACGCCTCGGCTATCAGAAAGGCATTCATCCGCTGCATTAATGCAAAAGCATTATAGACTTGAATACAACCTAGTACCTTACCATGTACTGTACAGTATTTAGTGTAATTGCATTGATTTTGTGCATTATCAGATTAGGAGTTTAAGTTTGCAGTGGAAGGCTGTGTACTGGGGGCTTGATATTTTTTGTACTATATTTGTACAAGTGTGTCTGATATTTAGATTCAAGTGACCATAGTGGGTAGCTGGACCTAAATGTGCAATCCTCCCTTTGGGAAAAACCTATTTTGTGGCAGGCCTACATTCACAAACACACTTTTGATACTTTTGAGAGACTGGTGCATGCTTCTTTACTGCATCCTGGGAGCGTCCTCGATTTGGGACTGTATTTTAAAACATCTGCAGGTTAGTTTGAACCCGGAACCCGGTAGATATACTTGACTGAAGTTCAATAGCTATATTTTTGAGCTGAGTTTCCATTACAGTTTAAAGCTCAGATGCTTTTTAGACAAATCTTTTGACATGATAGGAATATTTCAAAGAACTGTTCTCTTAAAACCCACTTGTTTATTTGATCAAATACTAACTAGTGTGGTTTGCATGTTTTTCAGTATGTTCCCCATGTTTCAGACAGTTTTAATAATATTAATAATAAACTTGTTTGTTAACTTTTTTCTGTTTACAGTTTGATGCATTACAGCAGGCCTGTCAATAAATATTCAAAGAAAACGGTTTAACTGTCCTGTGTTTTTGTAGTTGTTTGCACTCAATGTCTGACATTTACATACTAAACATCTATGAACATGCTTTTCAGAAATATTATGTACACAACTGTTCAAATATTTGGGGGAAGTTTTTTTTTTTTTTTTTTGCTTTTTTGAAACTTTATTTTTTTT